AAATCCTAGTGTGGGAAAATTCACTAATCAAGATACGACCTTCTAAAATTTATGTTATTCTGATTAAGAGAACACACAGAGAACTTTTCTTAGCTTCTGTGTGTAGCCTGAATGCATACAAATGGAGTTTCTGATCAATATATTCTCAGGATAATTATGTATCTTAATGATGCAGATATTTAATGATGCAGGTATGAGCCGTGATAATACAGTGATTAGAATGCAGTACTGCAGGCTACTTCTGCTGACTGCTGTTTGCCTGCAGTTTGGCAGTTCGAATCTCACAGGCTTGAGGTTTACTCAACCTTCCATCCTGAGGTCAGTAAAATGAGGATCCAGATTGTTCTGAGGTCTGTAAAATAAGGACCCAGATTGTTGGGGACAATATGCTCTCTGTAAACCGCTTAGAGAGGGGTGTAAAGCACTGTGAAGCGATACATAAATCTAAGTGCTATTGCTATTGCTATTTCAGATAGGTTTAGAAAAAATAAATATTGTTATGTCATTCCTAAATTGTTAAGACTTACTGTTTCAACAAAAATCAGATTATTTATTATTTTAATTGAGTCCTTTTGCTAAACTAATTAGTAGAATTAATTAATAAGTTAATTAATAAAAAGAAATATAAAAAGAAGTATTCAAGTATTAAATAATAACCACAATAACAACAAAAAAGAATCTGGAAAATTAAGGTATATGCAAAATAATATCCTATTAAAAAGCTTCCTTGCTAATGTAAAGACACAACATTAACTAATCCACAACAAATCAAAAGTTGAAAGACAAAATACATTACAACACATCACTGCTGAAAATCAGGTGGTAATTATTTTAGCCAAGCCTGGAATATTTCTAGTATCTTGATAGTCCAAATACTGGGGATATAGTTAAGAAGACCACATGTATCTTTAATACACATATTTCTTCAGAATCATAGTAATGGCAGCTCAAAATGCAATAATAATAGGAGTGTTCTGTATTTTTATAATGTTATAGTAGGAATAGAAGAAAATTTTTAAATGTAAATTATATAGATGATCCAAGGGAAGAAAATTCACATCAGTATGACTGAAACTTTAAAAACATTAATCAAGATACCCAAGATGTATTCTCCATCAAGGTCATGAGGACATGTCAACCATACATGCTTACTGTTTAAGGATGTTTTTTTATCCTTCAAGACTATCTTCACCTGCAACTTTCTCAGAAGATGGAAACATCTGCCTAGGATGTCTATGGAGACATTTGCATTCTTGATTTAGGTGACCTTGAAGGCACAGATAAACCCCAAGTGGCCTCAATGGCTCTCAGAGAGAGCTAACGACCAATGACTTTAAAGAAATACAATCCTTGCTTTCCCTGCCCATCCTGTCAGAACCTATCCTCCCATCCCCCCCATACATCCACTCAACTGTTACTATCTATCCTTCCATGCACACACCCCACCATCCAGTCTCAACTGTCAGTAACTATCCTTACACATGCACACACACACATCACTGCCCAGGCACAACTGATGAAGCTTCTTGAATGAGAAGCAAAACTCTTTCTTCCTCAAAAAACAGGCCAGTTGCCTTTTGAAGAAAAAAAAACCCCAAGCATCTTTGAGATATCTGCCCAGAAGTGCTATACAATAATGATTTCTTTCAGGAAGCTATATTGGTAATGGACTTTGATTAGGCTAAACTGGTAGTAAGATGATACTTCTATTGTGCTATTGACTATAATGAACCTAACTCAACTCTCATCTCTTTTACACACATACATACACACTGCTCCCTGTTTCTGCATTTTCTCCCCCTATTGCACATGTGAATGTACACTCATACCCAGGCGCTGTCCTAAGCCTTGTCGGCTTCTTCTGTTCCTTTCATTTTCCTTCCTTTCCTGCCTAGAGTTTTGATGCATTGATTTGCCTCCCCATCTCCTTTTTTTGCACTCTTTTTCTTCCCCACCTTCTCAGGAGAAGATGGAAGCTTCGACATTTTGAAACAGTTGGAAGTACTTTACAAGCTGTCAAGCACTCCTTCTGGGGATACATCTCAACAAAGCAATAGCAAAGCTAGTTGCACAAATGCAAATTTTTAAAAGTATAAGTGCAAAGAAAAGTTTGGTGTGATGTTGTTACCATCTACACCAGTGATGGCTAATCTTTTTGCCATCGCGTGCCAGGAGAGGGGGGGCGGGGGAGGTTTGCGCACGCACGTGCCCATGCGCGCGCAACCCCCTCCCCCCTCCCCCCCACTCCTGGCACATGATGGCCTGTAGGCCCGTTTTTCTTTCTTACCTGGTCCAGATCCTCTCTGTGTATCTGGGAAGGGCAAAAACAGCCTTTCCCACTCCCTTGGAGCCCCAACGGAGGCTGAAAGGGCCCATTTCACAACTCTCGATGGGACAGGAAGTGACATTTTTTGCTGTCAGCCTCCAGAACCTCTCTAGGAGTCTCTAGGAGCCTCTCTAGGAGTCTCTAGGAGCCTCTCTAGGAGTCTCTCTTAGGGTCTCTGGGGTTGGGACAGGAAAAACAGGTGGGACAGGAAGTGATGTTTTTTCCTGTCCCCAACCTCCAGAGACTCCTAGAGAGGCTCCTAGAGACTCCTAGAGAGGCTCCTAGAGACTCCTAGAGAGGTTCTGGAGGCTGGGGACAGCAAAAAAAGAAAGAAAAACGGGCCTTCCCCACCCCGCCCCCAGGCCCTCCAGGAAACAGCCTGTTTCCCTACTTCTGGTGGGCCCAGAAGGCCCAAAAATCAGCTGGCCGGCACGCGCATGTGCCCCAGAGCTGAGCTGGCGTGCCCACTAATATGGCCCCGCGTGCCACCTGTGGCACACGTGCCATAGATTCGCCATCATGGATCTACACCATTACAAAAGTTGTCTTTACCTGTTCAGTGACTGTTCAAAATTATGACAACTCTAAACAAGAGGGAGTTATGACCAGTCCGCAAAATTGTAGCTGTCACAATATCCCATAATCAAGTGATTGCAATCCAGGCACTCAGGCATCCACCTCATGATTATGATGTTGCACTAAGCAGTGGTCACATGATTGCCATTTGTGACCTTCCCTGCCAGATTCTCACAAGCAAAATCAATGGGGAACAGGGAAGGTTGCAAGTTGCTTCCATATATCACTCCTGCTGATTTTTCTCTCAACAAGACCCACTTTGGAGTAGAAGATCCCAGGGATCTTGTACTCTACAGCATGCATTCACCTGTGTGCACTGGACAGTGGGGTCTAGGACAACTCACTGTGGCCAACTTGCCGCGGCCAACTCATTGAGGGACAACTCACCACAGGGCAAGAGTTACTCTAATATCTAAGAACTGGTGGAATAGAATCATTTTTACAAAGGTGCCAAAGGAAGGACAAAATGAAATGTGAATGACAAAAATTAAAATAATTTTTAAATTATTTTAAATAATTAAGTTGAATGATTGAATTGTCCTGCAACGAGTTGTCCTGCAATAAGTTGGCCATAGTGAGTGGTCCCACAGTGAATTACTATATTTTTCAGAGTATAAGACGCTCCAGACTATAAGACGCACCTACCTTTTTTTTGGGGGGGAAACAAGAAAAAAAATCTGCCTCTGCCTCCCAGCAATTTGTCTCCTTGCAGCAAACAGCAGAGGCTGAAAATGGGGCATGCAAAGGTGGCAATAGGAAATGGCAATCCCTGCAGCCTGAAACAGCTGAGGGTCGGGAGGCTGATCCAACTGACAATCAGCTGCTTGTGCTAATCAGGCTGTGCTGAAACTGAAATGGGCTGTATGTTGCAAGGAGGCAAATTGCTGGGAGGCAGAGGCCAAAGGGTGGGTGCTGGTGGGTGGGTGGGGTTACATTCGGTGTATAAGACACACCCAAATTTTTGTTCTTTTTTGGGGAGGGGAAGTGCATCTTATACTCTGAAAAATATGGTAGCTGTGGTGAGCTGGCCATGATAAGTTGGCTGCAGCGAGGTGGCTGTGGCAAGGTGGCCCATTCTGGCACAATGTGTGACCATCTGCAGCACTCCTCCCTGCTTTGTCTGTAGTGCACACCTGCCCACAGTATATTGTCACCCACAGCTCTCATTGGCCTGCCTGAGGTCCTACCCAGCTCAGCTGCATTCCCTAGTACCCACATGCAACCCTTGCTGGCCATCTGTGTTCCCCAGTACTCAACTGCCACAGCCCCTCCCCCCAAAAAAAACCTCCCGTTCCTTGCTTGGGACTTCCATCTCTTTCTGCTTAACACAAAAAATACAAAAGCTGGTGTTATCACAGCAGCTAGAACTGCTGTCTCTAAGCAATATGGTCATGTGACATTGTGCTAAATTTATGACTGTATCACTTAGCAACAGCAATCTGTCCCAATTGCTGTCATAAATCAAGAACTACATATATTATCAATTTAAAAAAACCTAATCTGCTGAGCATAAGCAGTTACAGAGTGTTCTGACTACATGCAATTATTAGCAACAACCCACAAAGGGGCAGACAGACAATACAAAGTTTTAAGAGGTATCTAATGAAAATGATACAAGTGACTGTGCAGGATATGAAGCAGAGGTAGGTTTCAGCAGGTTCTGACCAGTTCTGGAGAACCGGTAGCGGAAATTTTGAGTAGTTCAGAGAACCAGTAGTAAACATTCTGACTGGCTCCGCCCCCATCTATTCTCTGCCTCCCAAGTCCCAGCTAATTGGGAGGAAATGGGGATTTTGCAGTAACCTTCCCCTGGAGTGGGGTGGGAATGGAGATTTTACAGTATCCTTCCCCTGGAGTGGGGTGGGAATGGAGATTTTACAGTATCCTTCCCCTGCCATGCCCACCAAGCCATTCCCACCAAGCCATGACACGCCCATGAAGCCACACCCACAGAACCAGTAGTAAAAATTTTTGAAACCCACCACTGATATGAAGGGTCATTGAATTCAAAGGACCGAGCGATCAAATATCCATTTAGGTTAAACAATCCTTTTAACATTCAATATTATAACTAGAGAGCAATCCAAGGATGACTCACCAGTGCTGCTTTGGATGGTCCTCACAGTAGTGGCTGTGCGAGGTGGAGATGAGGATCTCAAAGACAGACATTCATCATCTTGGGAACAGCCTTTTTCGATTGCTCTCACATAACTGTGGCTCCTCATGCGGAAACACCCAGGCATTGGCAGATCCAGGGCTTCTACTGCCTGAGACTCTAGTTCGCTGAATACAGACTCACAGACTGATTCAAACTGACCATTTACTTCCATCTCACTCACCTGCAGCCAAAAAAAGCACACTGCTTAATTGTATCCAATTATAGCCAATAGAAAGTGCAATTGGTAGTACTATATTATAGCAGGAAGAAGAGAGATCAAAACTTTATTTTCCTATTGTAAAGTATCATAAAGTAGAGTAAAAGGTGTATAAGCCATTTCCTTTTGGGTTTGTAAGTTTTTAAAGTATATAAAGATATAAGTAAAATATTTTCATGTTCCATTACAAATAGAAATCTTTTTATTTTTCAGTTGTCTACAGCATGATGCAAACTGCCCGGATTAATTACAAAATTACCAATGAAAGACATGAATCCTTAAACATGCCAAATGTTTTAATTCAAATGCCTTAAATGTACTTGATGCCAAAAAATCTACCTGGATTTGAAGCATGTTATCCAAGGGGATGGGAATCAATAAAATAAATGCAATTAAAGTGTAAACTGATGTAGGAAATGCATGATTACATACTAGTAAACAGTAGACAAGAAAGTGGCAAAATATTGATGACAAATTACTAATGGAGTTCAATATATTTAAGGCGAACATTTATGGGTGGTCCTTGACTTAAAACCATTCATTCAACAGTTACAATGCGCAGTTACAATGATACTGAACAAATGATGGCTATGACTGGTCCTTGGAGTTCTGGTTGTCTCAGACATTTCTGAGGTCCTGTGATTGCAACCAGAGTGCTTGGCAATGTGTTTCCAATTATCACTAGTTGCCAAGCGTCTAATGACTATATGATCACCATTTGCAATTTTCCATGCCAACTTCCCCTTAAAGTCAAAGATAAAAAAATCACTGGGATAAGTCTTGCCCATCCATGCACCTTCTCCTAGGTCAGTGGTTCTCAACTTTCCTAATGCCGCGACCCTTTAATACAGTTCCTCATGTTGTGGTGACCCCCAACCATAAAATTATTCCTAAAACCATTGAAAATATGTGTTTTCCAATGGTCTTAGGCAACCCCTGTGAAAGGGTCGCTCAACCCCCAAAGGGGTTGCGACCCACAGGTTGAGAACCACTGTCCTAGGTCCTTTGTGCTTGCGTTGACCACTTGTGAATCCGTCTACCTACCCAATCTGTGCAATATCTCCCATTCCCATGCATTCTCCTGAATCTACAAAGCGCCTTTTGCTCCCCAATCTGTGTGTGACCTCTTGAGAGTTACATATCCTGCTCAACCTGTGCAATGAATCTTGCATGTTCTTTTGTACCCTCCCTGTGCCACACCTCTCACACATCTTCACTAATCTATGGATCGCCTCTCATGCATCCTTCTTGACCCACACAATCCTTCTCACAGACCCTCCACAACTCATTGTACACCTCTCATACATCATTCCCAACCCATAGGGCCACTTTCACATACTCCCTTATGTACCCTCCACATCCTATGCCTCTCATGCACCCTCACTGACCCTCCTCCACAGCCTTGCCCACCCTCTCATTTCCTTCTTAACCTAGCAGCAGCCACTTACCTGCCTAGGAGCATAGGACTTGAAACTTCCTGACAGCTTGCCTGCTGACTTTGGTTGTGGGATGTTGGCAGGAAGTTGTCTTGTTTAATGACTGTAGGATTCAGTTAATAACGGACATAAAAACTGCAGGGATTGCCATTGCTAAGCGATGAAGGTGCAGTTTACAACCACATCGCTTAGCAACAGAAATTCCAGTCCCAATTGCTGCTGTTAGTTTAGAACTATCTATATGTCAATCACTCACAAAGTCTTCCACAATGGCTTTTGACTATTCTCATGACATGTATTATGCAATATGTAGATTTTTATCATAGTTTTGGTATTCTTTGAAAGATCTTCATGCTGTAGATGTATCCAGATCTTTCATTCTCTGTAGACTGTTTTTTTTTTCAGGGTAAAATTCCAATGCAAACAAGGCAATCAACAATGGCAACAATATTTAAGAGAAAATAAAATACTTTGACCAATGAAGGCCAGCTGTTGAGAATAATTATGGTACATATCTTTATGGCTTTTCCCTTTGATTTTTATAGACTTCACTACAAGCACTGCTAGTAGTCTCTGTAGGGTCTCTGCACAGAAAAATGCAAATGTTGGAAAATCATTACTAACATAATGTTTCCTACTTGTCCAAAAACTTGCAGGAAAATTAGGTGCAGAATGTGTTGCTTACAAAGGTTTTCTTTGAATTCTAAACGATAACATTCTGAACATGCTGCTAGGATCCAGCAGTGAACCTCTTAAACCCTAAGTAAATTATATGCTGCAAGTTGCTACTAGTGACATAAAAGCCTATGAAGCAATTGAGTTTTAAATCTAAAATAGGACTGACAGATCAGTTATATTCAAAGACAAAATGGAAGCCAACCATGCAACAAGCTATTATGTCACAGTAGCCTGTTAACTTCACTATCCATCCTAAAAACTCAACAGCTTTGCTTGAGGTTTGATGAGGAAATTATTTGTATGAATATAGAAGAATCCCTGGGGTTCTCTCTATGTGGATTTTTTTAAAAAAGATTCCTTAATATAAGTTTCTTTCTTTTCAAATGCTTTACGCCAGAATTTCAAGTTCCTGCCTACCACTCCAGTGGTGGGTGTACTAGTAGAACTAGAAATAAATTCATCATCATGTTGCCATTTTGCCTAGATACAGAAAGGAACTTCTTGATTTATGGCATACTGTCCAAAATGTACACTACAAAAACATTTGTGATTGAATAATGGCTGAATAATGATTGAATAATGCTAGAATGGGTGGAATACACCAATATCTAAGACCCTGTCTGATGATCACCATAGTATATGGAAGATTGCAATTTCAAATTTAAGAGAAGAAAATGATACAGAATATGAATTTGAAAAAAAGGAAAGGAAAACCAATTAAAATATTATATGTTCGTTTCACTAACATAAAAAGGGGAACAATGCAATACACCTAAATGAAGAAAAGTCTGAGTTTTGTAGATTAAAGCTGATTAATACATGCAAGGAAATTAAGATGTAAGTTTGATTATGAAAGAAAGGGGTAGAAATTATGTTACAAAGTATGAATTAATGCCATCTACAGTAGGCTGTGTGGTGTGCATGAAAAGAGGAATCTGTAAATTGGAGTCCCTTGAATGTTTTGCTCTAGTGAATGGTGATAATGGAAAAAGCAAAGATAAACAACTAAAAATTGTGCAATAATTCTGAATGTTTAAGATCCATAGGGGAAAAATATTCTGTTAGGTGACATAATTGGATGGCTGGAAGACAAGACAAGAGGGAATGCTAAAAATAACTGAGCTATTTGGAGTCTAAGAATGAATGAGACTGATGATTGGTGTGTTAGAAAAAAGTCTATTTCAAATACAAAAGCACTATCAGGCTCAGTTCATGCATATACATGCCAAAGGAATGGATATGAATCTTAAAAGCATGACTGATTTAATTGTTTATGATGAAAATCTGACACAATTATTAAAGAATATAATGGTGGTGCAAGATGATGAATGCAGGAAAAACTGTTTTTCGGAGGTGTCATGTGGATCTTGGGATAAATGGATTATGAAAAAAAGAAAAGAAAGTTTAAAAAAACACTAGAGTGAAAATAGAACTACAGCAGGAACAAATTAGTAGAAAGTGAATCTAAGGAAAGAGAATGTGAAAGATGCATGAAAACAAGCAAAAATAATTATGGTATGTTAAAGATGTCACACAAGGGAGTGGAGTTATACTAATGGAAAGTACGTAAAGTACTGGACAAAGCAAATCATATGGAATATATGCATGGATGATCTGAGTTATTTGACATTCCCAGTTCAAACAAGCAAAAATGGCTAAGTATAACTACATACACCTGTCAATTGTTTTAAAGGACTGAGAATTATTCCTGTAAAGTGAAATATAAAAATAACTTGACTCCAATGAAAATGGGATATTTAAGGATTGTGTACGGTAATAGAGGAATGAATTGAATCAAGAATGGTGCGATTACTGGATCTGGATTAAATACAAAAGTGAGGATCAAATTGCAAAAACAAATATATGAAGAAAATGATAAAGAGTAGAGAGGAAGGCCAAAATGTTATGATTGGATGCAGTTCATTAAATCTTCCTCAAGAAAGCGGACGAATAAAGAAAAGTCAATGTGTGAGATGGCCTACGGGTTTGGTGGATGCAAAGATGGCTTGCAAGAATAAAGACATATAAAGTATATGAATGGTACTGGTGTAAAGTAGATTTAGTTTATTTCCTTTTCTTATTTTTTTCCTCATGTCATTAATGTCTTATTTTTTACTCCCATTATGTATTTGCATAAGACTGCTTACCTCCAAAAGGAATAATGGGATATAGATGTATATCTAGCTATACAAACATGAGTATAAATTGTATAAATATATCAGGAAAAATTGCAGATTGCATTCCTCCTTGCCACAAAAACAACATTAATGAGTGCTGGTTCAGATTGAATAATTTGGTTGGGATTAGATTTAGAATAGATTTCTAGCCAACTAAGGACTCATTTAGGGATCTGCATTACTTGCAGAGACATCCACAGGGGACTTAATAAGAAGTGGGTGACAAAAAAATTGTCTTACCATTGCACCACAAGCTCTATCCACTTTATATATGCATTATGATGTTGTATACCTATGAAAAATGTGGTATTTGTAGTGTGGCAGGTGATACTGTTTGTTCATTTTCACAAAAGTTTTGAATCCCGCAGATACCTCAAATTTTGGTATATATGAGCCATCTATATTTCTCTACCCCGGCAACATCTGAAATAAATGGATCCAATATTTCATTTCTAAGGCACACTGAAAGCATCGACCTGTATGCTTAATGTTATGCCTACATTAATTGGCTTTCATGTGCAGGAATGTTTATGAAAAAATGTTAACTCAACAAATAATATGTACAATATATGAATAATTAAGGGTGTGTTATTATGTGCAAACCTATGATCTTATATTTCATGGATCAACGATGCCTACCAATCATGTGCCAAAGATTAGATATGAATTATAAACACAATTAAAAAAAAACCAAGTTGGTCAAAAGCTAAACAAATGAACAGAGGATCTGAAGACACTTCCCATCAGGGATGCCTCCTGGTTTATGGCCAGGGTACAACATTTTTGGCTTGGGGACTCTATGTAGCCCACCAGGACCTTTTTTTAATATCTCCCAAAGTGGGAGAGGACCAAATGTGTACCCTTTTTTAATTGGGAAGGGGCTTAAAAGGGCCCAGTGAGCAAGTGAACCCTGCAAAAGTGGTACATTCCTTAAGTGGGTGGAAGTTGCTTGGTGGTCACTCTGCCCTGATCACAATGTTTTTCCCAAGTACTGTATAGTAATTTATATTTTCTGATATATGAGGAAAATCAAAAATCCACATTCAGGAGGAATATTTGTGTATTGTACCAACTGCCAATTTTATAGAGTACCATTTTGAGACTCTTGATCGTGTCAATGATTATTCAATAATATTGAATAATGGTAATTGACATTTACATAGCTAAGGGATTTTTAATAATACACACTGGCATACATTTGTTTTATTGCATAATTGTCCATACATCTTTTTCTTATATAGATTCTATATTTATCAAAGTTGGATGGTGTTTTTGTACTATCATTATTATTTTGTTAATTGTACAAGCATGTCACTCACCTGGCTAATAGTGCTCATGGCCCTCATGTAGCTTTCATTTCGGGAACGAAACTTAGGAGAGGTAAGCAGAGCCGCAGGGTCCAAGCTATCCAAACTCCTATTGATTGAAACTTCACTCACTGCCCTCAAGTAACTGTGGCTTCGGATTTGAAGTTTTGGAGAATGTTCACCGGAAATCCTTAAAGAAAAACAATAACAATAAGTCACTGTACCATATCTACTTTTCATCTCTAATAATTTATATATTTATTTATTTATTGGTTCGATTTATATGCCGCCCTTTTCTGTAGACTCAGGACGGCTTACAATGCGTTAAGCAATAGCCTTCATACTTTTGTATATACCTGCTTAGTAGGGCTTTTGGCCCCCCCCAAGCAGTGGGGACCTTTTTATACAAAGTCAGCTTATTGCCCCCACAAACTGGATCCTCATTTTACCTACATCGAAAGGATGGAAGGCTGAGTCAACCTTGAGCCTGGTGAGATTTGAACTTGCAGTAATTGCAGGCAGCTGGTGTTACTTAACAGTGCTTTAATCCGCTGCGCCAAGGCTCTTTAAGCCAATTAAGGACAATACTATGTCCCACAGCAAAATAACCACCAAAATATTCACACACACACAGAATCTACCCAGTGACCCATAGTCATATATAAACATAGATCTCAAACCCCAGAAAGGAGACTGTTCCTATTAATTTGTTCAAATAATATTTTGCCTTTCTTATCAACAATTGTTAAGTGTGGTGTGCTTTGTACACACAAGGACCAGGATATCTACAGGACCGCCTTCTGCCACCAACAGCCTCCCACCGACCAGTTCGCTCCCACAGAGAGGGATTCCTCAGGGTGCTGTCGGCCAAGTTGTGCCAGCTGGTGACACCCAGGAGGAGAGCCTTCTCTGTTGGAGCTCCTGCCCTTTGGAATGAATTGCCCCCGGATATTCGTAACATCTCTGATCTCCGGGTCTTTCACTGTGCCCTCAAGACCCTACTGTTCCGACAGGCGGGGCTGTCTAATTGAATGATTTTAAATTGGGTTTTAACTTTTGGTTTTAAAATTCGGCCAAAACTATTTAATGATTTTAATTAATTTTAACTATGATATTGTATATTTATGTTTTTAATTGGCTGTACACCACCCCGAGTCCTTCGGGAGGAGGGCAGTATATAAATAAAATTATTATTATTATTATTATTATTATTATTATTATTATTATTGTTGTTGTTGTTGTTGTTGTTGTTGTTGTTGTTGTTGTTGTGGCAGCTGCCTGTCTGTTTGAATTCTAAAGTCTCAGAGCACTTTGGCTTCTTCATTTTCTATTACTTTCTCTATTTTATGGTCCTACCAGTTCTTGCTTGCACACAAATGGCATTTCTTGCAGATCTTCCAATGCCCCATTGTTGTTACTTTATCCTGCTATTGTTTGCAGTCATTCTGTGCAATCTCCTTGCAGTAGCTAATTAGGTGATTCACTGTTTCTTTAGCTTCTTTGCGGAGGTGCCACTTGCTGTCTGTTGCTGTCTTCTCAATTCTGGCTTTGTATGCATTATCTCTTTCTTCAACTTTCCTGTTCTTAGCGATTGGCAGGTCTTGTTATTATCTGCCTTGTCTGTTTTTTTTTTTTTAATGTACTGGTCATATAGTACTTTCTCTGCCTCTTTTCTGTTCTTCATTTAGTCTTTCTTGTAGGTCATTTTGGTTTCTCCTGTATTCAGTAATACCTTCCTGGTATGCTAGCTTCAATGCATCTTTTTCATGATTCTTTTAGATATTCTCCCAATGCCTTTTTTCTTTTTCAACCATCTGATGTACTTGGAACATTTCAAAATCCTGCCTATTTTACAGTGGTGAAAGTCAAACTTCTTTATTACCAGTTCTGTGGGCGTGGCTTGGTGGGCGTGGTGTGGCTTGGTGGGCATGGCAGGGGAAGGATACTGCAAAATCTCCATTCCCACCCCACTTCAGGGGAAGGATACTGCAAAATCCCCATTCCCTCCCCGCTCCTGGGGGAAGGATATTGCAAAATCTCCATTCCCACCTCACTCTGGGGCCAGCCAGAGGTGATATTTGCTGGTTCTCCGAACTACTCAAAATTTCCGCTACCAGTTCTCCAGAACCTGTCAGAACCTGCTGGATTTCACCCCTGCTATTTTCCGTGGTAAGTAGAGTCTGTCAATGCCATGAAAGGATGAAGAACATGATTCATTGTCATTACTTTTCTGGTCTTCCTATCCAGGGCTTTTAGTTCTACTTGAGTCCAATCCACAATTCCAGCTGTGTAACTAATGACTGGAATTGTCCAAGAGTTAATTGCTTTGATGGCATTTTCTCCACTGACTTTGGAGTACAAGATTTTCTTCACACTCTTGATGTATTCACTTCTAAACTTTTTCTTCATTTCAATGTGCTTGAAACTGTTAGCTTAAAGATACCCAGGTATTTGTAGTGATCATCTTCGTCTAGACTCTTGATGTTGTCTCCATAGAACATCTTGATTCCTTCAGTTTTCACTATTTTCTCCCATTGGATGGTGAGCATGGCACATTTGTCCAGTCCAAACTCAGTTCAATGGGGTTGCAACTTGGATTTGAATTCTTTACTGAAGAATGCACATTATTCAGTAGGCTTTTAAAAAATGCTTTTCCCAAATGGATTTGCTAGTCACCTCTTTATTGTGGCATGATTGAAGCAGGGATTTTCTATTATAAAAATGAGGGTTAATTTGTAGAGTGCTTAAATATTTTTACCCAAAAGCACCTACAGAGATTTGTGTTGCCCTGTATATATCTAACAAATCTGCTGTTTTGACAGCCTGATGATTGCTGGCTTATATAATACATTGTATATGAAATAATGGATAATGGGTTTGAACAAATCTGCTTTTTAATAATGGATGATGTAAACTTACATAAACTACAAAAGCCTAGAAGAAAAACTAGAATGATTTCTATAGTTTTTTTTATTGATTCTCATTCTTCTTATGTCAGCCACATACAATCATTCTAAGAACTAGCATTTTAATCAAGCTGTAGAATAGATTGAAACATAAATATACGGGGAGAGAGAGAGATTTAAGGCAGCTTAATGTAAATACGCAATTTCAAACACTGATTTAGTTTGAAACCAGTTTTTTCCATATTCAATTCACATATTTTTCAAATGAATGTACATACTAATTGTACATTTTAAAATATGCATGCTAATCAGCAACTATCATGAATAGAAAAAACTTTCAGTTGATAACCTTTTCAAAATAATTGATAATTTAGTTCATTTATCTCTAGTGCTATATAATTTTACTTAGATGAGAAAGAAAGGAGAAATTAATGCATTTCTGTGAGCTCTCTTGGTACAAGGATTTTAAAAGTAAAGATAGGCATTCTAAATATGATAAAGTGCTTTGCATTTTGAGGGGGATGTCAAGCTATACATTCTGTTAATATTATTGTGCTGTACTCCATTTTTGGTTTTTAATCAAAAGCACAATTCAAATTTAAACTGGAGCTATCAATATGGGGAGAATAAGTTTCTCTACAAATTATGCATACCTCAGAAAAAGAAAAAATAAACTTTTAAAATACTGCATGAGAAAGGGCAAAGAATTTATAAACTGACTTTAAAAACAGAATAGTGGAAAAGCTACTGTGTTTCTGTGAAAATAAGACCCGGTCTTATTTTTGAGGAATGTCTTATTTTGTGGCTCCCGTCTACTCCCGCTCACCATCTGCTTGCCCATGGCCGCAACGGCTTACAGGGCTTGCTTCCCAGGGCAGATACACTTTTCACCTGAATGGAGAAATGATGCAGACCCGAAGCTTGCAAATGGGACACTTTGAAATGGACCTAAGCCTGTTGGGATCGTCTGTCTTACCCACCCACCCCACATGCCTCTGCCTCCGCCTGGGTCCACAGCGCACTATTTGCCCAGAGGGAGATGAAGCTTTGTCTGCTTGCAAATAGGATGCTTTGAAATGGAGCTAATTGCTCCATTTCAAAGCATCCCATTTGCAAGCAGAGAAAGCTTCGAGTCTCACTCATTTCTCTGTCTGAGCGAAAAATATTTGGGCAACTATGGGGTGCTTGGGAATGGAGCGATTAGCTCTGTTTCAAAGCGCCCCATTTGCAAGCAGATGAAGCTTCGTCTCCCTCTGGGCAAAAAGTGCAAGGTGGAGCCAGAAGCAGGGAGGCAGATCATCCCAATGCGCTGTACACTCTGTCCCACTGTCTCTCGGCTTGTCTGCGGCTGTACCTGGTAGGCACCAGCGCGGGATGTTGGGATTGCCTGTCTCCCCCCTGCCTCTGTCTCCATGCTCAAACTTATCTGCACTGCACCAAGGGGCCAGTGGGCTGTGGCTGCTGCCAGACACTTTCAGCCCCTGTGTGCTCGCTGCCTCTTGTGCTGGCCACACCTATCCCCCAGACTTATTTTTAGGGTAGGGCTTATATTAGGCCCATCCCAAAAAAATGAGGCTAGGGCTTATTTTTGGGATGGGTTTTATTTTCAGGAAAACACAGTACATGCTACATAATTAATATGTATGTGTGTGTTCAAACAACTTCCAACATGCACTGAAGTATGTGCCTTTTCTCTATAAAAGTTTTCAAATAATCAGCTTAAACACGGTATGTAAAACTTTCTTGTACTTCACAGATCATTATTGCATCTTAAAATGATAGTAAATTTCCGGGCAAATAGCATAAATGTGTTATAAATATTTATGAAACATAAAAGTACTGTACTTTAAGTAAATAAACATGGATGGCATTATGAAAAGAAAATAATATATAAGATAATATTTACTGATCTTAGAATAAATGCTACTTATGGTAGGAAAAGTTCAGTAAAGAATGCAAAGTTTTTTTATGTTAGGCTGATCTCAGAAATTAGGCAGGTTTTTTTCTGTAGGGGACTTATGCACATGGAATCTATTATAGTTTATATTTAAGAAATATATGTTGGTACAAATTTTGTCACTCATGCTAACTTTAACTTCAGGAATATTTAAATAAGTATGCTTTAAAAGATGGAAATGAGATTATGCCAGATGGCAATGTTGCTGCTTGCCCCAACTGCTGATGCATTTTTCTATGTGAGAAAGCAAGTACAGATAGTCGTCAGTTAACACCACTCGAGACTGGCAGCTCTGTCGCTAAGTGAAATGGCTGTTAAGCAGAACAT